AGGGTTGTTGAAAAAAGCCAAAACGACCATCTACTAGGATATAAAAAGGGAACTTGTAACTCTTCAACTCCTTTGAATCAAGTCCTGAAGATACCATATTGAAATACAGAACACCCTATAAATGGTAATGTAACCCCTTGACAAAAAACGGCTTACATTGTAAAACAAAGCTATATCATATTTGTTACCTTTCGTGCTTAAATTACATGTCTTGTTACTCAGTGAATTTTAACCTATATTTTCAGCTTTCAGAGCAAAGGGAAAATAAAGAGAGATGTTCCAGGAGGAAAAAGAGCTCACAGACCTGAAGGGCTTGATCCCGTCTCTTTATTGCTGCATTCACACTTGGGAACACTCCGCTAAACCTGAATGTACCGTAAGGGTTAAATGCTATGATGAAGAGGAAATTTTTTGACAAACTACATGAAAGGCTAGTTACTAGGTCATATGACACTAAAATCAGAGAACCTCGTGCCATCATGATATGATGTTGTTAGTTAGTTTTTAGAGTTATAATTTGGCATTGATTTTGCAGTACCTCTGGTCAACTTCAAATAACCCACTCAAGTTGAAACTCTATAACTGTAAATCCTAATATCAGTATGCATAATCTCCATACTGTTCTCCATACATTTCTTCAGGTGCTGACAAGGAGAATTTGTTTCCACAATCAAGAGCTTTTTTAGTTGGTGATCATTCTCTTTGTTCTGCTGACCTTAGCATTTGATTCAGGGGTGATATTGCAAGGAAAAGTAAGATACTAGTTACTTTTAGGGGTCAAAAGGTCACTAAATTAGCTCCATGATAGGGTAAATCACAAAAAGATACTTTAACCTTCCTTGGTAACAAATAACACTTGCAGATCCTCATTATACTATAGCTGAACTGCCATTACTATATTATCACTTCAACTGCAACAATATTAGAGACTTTGAAGGAAATTAGGGCAAAAAATTATCTCCAAACTGTTATTTTCTCCAAAAAGATTGTCTTTCAAGCTTCATGGTGTGCAGTTTCTTCCATAAAATAGCCTAATACCAATGTTAATCATTTTAATGATTATAATTTATGAATCAATAAATTATCAATAAATCATTAAAAAATAATAAATGACATTCATTTAAGGAAAATAATATAACCTAATGCAAATGCATCAGTTTGATCATATTTGTTACCTTGCCAGGTGACAAGTCAGAGTTGAAAAGAAAATTATCAAAGCTAGTTTGACACATTATATATTCAAGTTAATTTCACACACAATACTGGATTACCTGTCATTTCTTACAATAGGTTTCATCATCAACTACCCTGTTGATTTTTACTAAGCTAGGACAATTTGTACTCAGTCAATTGAGTTGTTTCATACCTGTACCAATTACAGGTTGGTGTAGGTTTTCAATTGTTATGTATGTTTAAAATAAGGTCAGTTCCTTATGCTAAATAGAAATACCACCTGCATTAATTAAGTTTGGTTTACATTGCCCCCATTTTTGATACACAGCTGATAAATTTTAGACCCAGTACCAAAAATGTGGGATCTGGGAGTCATAAGACAGACACACAATATATTTCCACCAGATACAGAGCATATTTTTTTTTAATAGAAATGACCATGGGTATGAAACCACTAGATACTTATTGACGACATCTGCACTGAGTTATTTAAACCATTGACAAAAAATACTCAGAATGCTTTGTAGCATTTATAATTGACATAAATGCTACAAAAACACCCTAAACATCAATTGTCTAAATCAGTCCTGAGAAAGAATCCTCATCAAAATGTTATCTGCTGCTGTCTTCTGTCTTCTGTCTTCTAATAAAGGCACCTAAGCTTACAAAACTAATTAGATTTCATGCCATTTATGTAAAATTCTACATGATTATGCACCTGACCCCTTAGATTGACTAGCACCTAGTAATTTCTCCTTTGAATATCACGCCTGGTCATGAGAACAAAGGAAATGATCACCAACTAAAGAAGCTCTTGATTGTTAAACAAATTCTCCTTGTCAGTACCTTAGCAAACATATAGAGAACAGTATGGAGAATATGCATACTGATATTACAACGAAATGAGTTAATAATTGTAAACAAGTTTATGCAATAGCAAATATAATGAAATAAAATCAGGAGATATATCAATAAATAAAATAAAAATATCATCCAAAAAAAAAATATTACATACAGTGACATGAAATTAACCTTACTTTTTCATTGGATCTGTTATAGTCTTCTGATTTCTAACTGCCTGTTAGATGTAATTCAAGATAAAAAAGGCAAATTTCAGATACGTTGAGAAATGTTATTAACTTAGATTGTTCATCTAATTTATGTAAATAGAATAAAACTCATAAAGTGTAACAGAAGTACTTAGCTGTAGAGACACAGCCAAAAAGAAGTGTCAGCACTAAATGCAAAAATCATAAGTTCAGAATTTGTCAATAACAATCAGCATATTATTTTTCCTACTTACTCACCAGTTCTTGTCTTAGCTCATCTAGCTTTTCTGCACAGGCTGTGCACTCTTGAACCTGAAAATAACAGACAAGAATCATACATCAGCAGTCAGGAGACATCAAATTAAAATGTAAACAATTCTTCTCAGAAACAACTACAATAATGATTGTATTCAAACAATAAAAATAACAAAAACAAATTTTATGTACATTTGACCCATGGAGAGAGAATATTATAGTTATTTCTTAATAAAGAGGGCAACAGTTATGCTGAAGTATAGCTGAATTTCAACAGTCACTTGTTACATTGTAGTTTCCTAATGCCCCATTTGCAGCTGCAAAACACGTTAAGTAAAACTAGGTTTCAAACTGAATGAAATTGGCTGGTATAGAGACTGAAAAACTAAATCTTATACAGGATTCAAGTAGTCACTAACTCTTTATTTTGATTGCATTAGTTGACAAAAAACTTCATTTAAGAAGACACTTTCAAACTATTTGACAAAAGTGGTTCTTGTTTCAAACATGTTTTGGAGGGTACTAGTCATCTTGACTGGTTGTAATTTGGCATTATTGGCAGCCCTCAGGTTTCCTTTTGAATACCTACATTAGTAACAGTAGCAGTGAAATACTTTGTCTTACAGGTTCCCCAAACAGTTCTTCCTGAGAAACTGGACTTGCTGCAAGATCCTGGTAAATCCGTAGCTCAGATTTTGACAGGGCTGAAATGGAGAAGAAAGTAAAAAAAAAAAAAAGAAAGAGTAAAATTTATTTATTCACCTCTTGTATTCCCAAAACTAGTAAGTACAAGTCAAATGATTCAATTCACCTGAAAGAGCATCGCCATATTTTCTTGTGTCCTTGTAAATTTTCTTTGTTGCTCCCTCTAATCTGAATGTAAATAAAAGAATTACTCACAAAACATGACAAATACAAATTTAAGAAAGATTTCTAACTACTTAAAGAGGGGCTTCTTCATCTGCTCAAGAAAATATAGGTGAGATTACCAACAAAAACAGGTGTCTAGGTGATAGAATAAATTATTGGTTTATCAACTCTAATTAGGAATTATGTATGGCTCAAAAAAATTGTGATGTGAAAGTTTTTAGTAATACTATATGACATTGGACGAGGTATAACAATTGATGCCTGTGTTCTGCTATAGTAAGATTGTTTTTGTTGAAATTCTTACTGGTTAAATCTTGCCACTTCCCTCTCAAATTCTCTGTCACCCTAAGGAAAGGAATAAATTATCAAAGATTGAAACCAATGTATATGTTGTCATAATTAGGGTTAGAGGTTATGTGCATGATTGTACTGTCTGTAATGTAGATGACTATAATTCTTCACAATAGGCTTAGTGCTGCCAGAAAAACTGGATCATACAATTTATGAAACAGCCATGGTTATAGACTGCGCTTGTACCTAAGATCAATATTTAGTCCAAGTCTTGAATTCTAATTTCTTTGGTTGTTTATGACAGTTTCCAATTCCAGATATAGGCTTAAATGTAGGCTGCACTACACAAGAAAACTTCTACAAAACATTCTTTGTCATAAAGGAATTCTCACCCAAAGTGTGTTATACTTTCTTCTGACCCTAGTCTTCTTGCCAATGCAGCTAAACATTTTTCATAGACTAAATTTAATTCACACCTGCCTGTACCAAAACCTTTGAATATTGATGCTTCTAAGTTTTTGATATTCAAATGAAACTGATTGGAAGAAAGCTATGTGTTTTGATTGTAAACAAAAGAATGTCAGTCTGAATTTCACACTAGATTAGATATCTAGAATTTTTAAATACTAAACTGATGAAGCTCTGTGTTTATATAAACTGCTTTAGTCCTAAAATTATCATAAAAAAAGACCAGGAATCCTCCAACTGGAATAACACTTATTGACACTCTTGTTGAAGTTGGAAACAAACTTATTATTATGGCTGGTTAATAATAAATATGACCTATGTTTGGATAAATGGCTTCCAATGGGGAATAAATTTGAAAATGAATCTTACTACATGTACTCCCATAAAAAAGAGGGACTATATTACTGACAACACAAATACCCATATGTATAAATTTTGGCCATCAGTGAAGAATCAAAATGACTCAAAGTTGAAACTGAGTTTTATTCCATCACTAAAACTTTGTGAAATTCCCAAATTTGTATTTGGTTTTGATGTCGTATATAATTATAAAAATACATATGAATGTTAATGTTCTATTTGGTTATTTCCACTGTAGGGCAAAAACCAGAGGTAATGAGAAATGAATAAGGAAACTCTTTGCAAGTGTACAGTATGTAAGACTGAAGATGAAGTTTACCTTAACCCCGGTTTTACTTAACTTAACCCTTTAACTCCCAAGATCTGATTGTTAATTCCCCCCTCTAGCTACTACACATTTCCTTGTAGATTGATTATGAGAATTAGGTGTTCAATCAAAGTGATAAATTGTATCTGATGAGTTTGAGTGTTCTCACTACCTGTCCTGTCTCTCACTACCTGTTTGCTGTGTAATGTATGAATACTATAGGGAGAAGTTACATGGTAATCACTTCTGGGATTTAGAGGGTTAATGATTTAATTTAGTGCCCATGTGCTTATTTATTTACAAATGCATGTAGTATCTCTGAGGAATGTGCTTATTTGAGGCAGAGCACTTCTTAAGGACAGGATGCTTACTTAGCTTTTGAGAAACAGTAGAAAGTGCATAATGAAACTGATATTTATTAAAAAAGGAACAATAACAGAAACTGAAAAAGAAACAAATATTCAGGTTGATAACATTACATTGGTAGGGGAATGTACATTGTACTCTAGTAGAGCTATCACTGAAACAGAACAGGGGCCTCTACTAGAATTGAGTGCTTACCGGAATGAAGGTGCTTAGTATGCTTTAGGGGAGCTAGTTAAAAACAAACAAACAAATTTGAGAGGGGCATTTACACAAGAGTGCCTCGTGATGGAACAAGGGTGCTAAATTGAATCATTATGGTCTTTGCAATTTGAGCAACCAGGCCCAGGCGCTCACCAGTGCCCCAAACAACTCTTGAAGAGTTACACCTTGGTTGGGGTGTGTTAAACTGGGATACTAGACTCTTTTCCAGGTTTAGCTCCTAGTACTAAGGGAACCCATAGTTTTTAAGAGAAGTTAGGTAGGTAAGAAAACTCTGTACTGGAGCCAAATGGTCCATCCAGCCACAACAAACCCTTTAACTCCCATAAGTGACCAAGACAGAATTTCTCCTTATGATATCAACACAATATCAAGCCGACAAGCGATGAGAATAAAAAAATATCAGTTAGAGGATTATTAGTTGATCCAATACCAAATTCTCTAAAGTAACATCACAAGAACTGTATGGCAGACGGTAAGGTTAATTACTAATTAGATCTTGGGAGTTAAAGGGCTGATCCTAGTTTCCTCTACAAGCAGTTAACACTGGATTATTTCAAATTCTGGAAGGAATGACACATCTACATGTAGATTCCCAGGTTAAGGTAGAGTAAGCTTGGAGAAATCAGTCATAGTATAAGATAAAATGTCTTACTTTATACTGATTAATGCTTTGATAACACCTGCTAAACAACCTTTTTAAACAGTGTAAGAAATTTGAAGCCAAGGGACTTTTCAACATAGAAAGCGTTGCTAAATATATTTATAGAAGTAAGCCGTCATAATCATGCTCAAACATAATTTTGTAAAAGGACTCTGACCTATTATGCTTGCTCTAATTTGTCAAATATCTCTCTGTCTCTCTTTGTTTATCAGCCCCATCTGAGATACGAGGATGAAAAGATGAAAATTCAGAAATAATTTGTACTTACTGTTTGTTTTACTGACGGCTTTGCCTTCTTGAATGGATTCCTGTTGTTTTCAAAGCAAATTAAGCATCCTGTTAGTCAGTGGAAGGCACATACCAGTAATTTAATGGCAACATTTGATTCAAGATTTCAACATGCTGAATGATTAATTGATGAAGGCAAAGAATTAGATGCCTTTGAAAATCGACTTCCCGTGGTTTATAAACAGAACTGACATGCTTTACTACCTTTCTTCGACAAATCAGATACACAAGAAAATCAGCAATTTCACTTACCAGCTCATACTAACCAAATCACAAGAGAAACCCACAATCTCTCCTTCGCTCTATGTCCGTCAGGTGTGTTTCGTGTTCGTGATGTTTTCGGAACTCTTCGTAAAGATATCGAGTCCCAGGAGTATCCATATAAGGAGAACATCGTCTCCCTCCGGCGCACGTTGTCACATGGAGTTTATGTTGATAGCGACTTCATGTGTGTGAACCAGACATGAAGGTCGAAGAGAGTGCGCGTGATGGAAAGAAGAAAAGCGTTCGTACTGTTGGAACAAGGAAAGAAAGTAACCTTCAGAGTACAGACCTAGTTGTAACTGTGCCGAATGAAAATAGTAACTCATCTCGCCTTAAACCTCCTGTTACTGCAAGTGAGCCCCGAAAGATTGTGATCAACCGAAAAACTGGTATAGTTTTCAGTTTGGAGTTGTGTGTTTTATCTAGAATTTTTGCTCACGATTTCTCATGTGCTGGGTTTCCACTTATATAACAGAATCCACTGATTTGGAGAAAGTTACTGTTAAGTCTCTGGATGAAATCAAACGTGAAAAGCAGCAAAGAATGAACGACACTTCCAGGGACACTTCAACAGATGCAGCTTGTGATGGGAACCACGATGCCGTCAATCAGAATGATGAGGTCTGTGCTAGCAGCTCAGCAAGTGCCATTGACCCAGGTATGAACCGTACATATACGTCTGAAATATCCAAAACCAACAAGTGCGTTTGAAGAAACTGCAGAGTTTTCGAACAAATTGTGAAATTTGTCTCGAACTTCACTGAATGAAGTGGACATTTCATTTACAATCGTCTCCATTTTTGCGAAATTTTTATTGTATGCACTGTATTTCAGCTTCTGTCGTGTAACTGACTCGTGAGTTCGCCCTTTGAATTGAAAAGGAGTAACATTTAACGCTGATTGCAGCAATATTGAAATCTCTGAAATGTGAAAACTCTGTAGAGTATTCTGCAGCTCAGCGGCTCAACGTTTGCAGTGAGGCGTGTATGGTTTCCCATCACACTTTCATCGTAGTGATGACTTAAAATGAGCATTGTGTTTTATTGGAGAAGCTCTCTGGTGGATTAGAAGCACCAGGGACTAAATGTGGTTTCCATAACCCATTTGTATGGCTGTTACTTATATTTATTGAAGAAAAATAGGCAAGACTTCTGTAAAAACCCAACACTCCATCATGCATGCAGTTTATTTAAACCTTTAACTCCCATGAGTGACCAAGACGTAATTTCTCCTTAAAATATCAATACAATATCAAGTAGACAAGTGATGAGAATAAAGAAAAAATGTAAATAAGGGGATTATCAAGTTAATCCAATGGCAAATTCTCAAAACTAACATCACAAGAACTGTATGGCAGACAGTAAGGAGAATTACTTATGAGATCTTGTGAGTTAAAGAGCTAAAGAAATACAGTAATAGAAATGCTAGACTTCCTAAAGAACTAAGGCTTTGTAATACAATACTATTGGATTACACGAAAGCAATTGAAAATATCATAAAAACAATTTTCCTTTTTGAAGAGAAAAAATCTGTCACATTGGATAACTGAAGATGTTTTAGCAAGACAAATCAGGATAGCAGCAAATACAGTACTCAAATACTGTACCTCTCTTTTCCTTGATGAATTAGACTTTGTATATGGTTATACTTCTAAGTAGATTATAAATTTTTTTTTCCATTTTTGAAGACCTAGTATCACTATCATTTGTACCACTTATTGACATATGCTGGCCCCAACATACCGTAGTTTCTCGTGTGTAAGGCACATGGTTTTTTCAAGAAATTTCTGGTGGACAGTTAGTGCTGAAATTGAGGTTGTCTTAAAGCCAAGTATTTTTGGAGGTAAAATCCACCTTCTTTGTCCATCCAGCCTTTTTTGTGCACCGAACCTTGCATCCTCAGAGGCGTGTTGATATTCAGTTGTTAAACATCTTTTAATATGACTTTTGGTTAGAGTTTTTGTCTGTTTGCTTTTACCATTAGAGCAACCATGCATCTTATAGCCAAGTATTTTCACTTAATTTTCAGTTTGGGAACTTGGCTCGACCAAGTTGCTAAGTTTGGGGTGCACCTTATAACCGAGAAACTGTGGTATTACTTTAACACCATATCATAGTTCTTGAAAAAACCCTTATGGACTGCACAAGGTATTTATGGAAACCGCTGACCCAGGTACTATTTTGACTCGAGTTATGGCAAAGAAGTAAAACTTTTTCCATTATTCAGCAGATAATGTTTGCAATGGGCCAGAAGTTGAGTTGAGTGGTACATATGAATCAGCTGGCAGCACCCAAACACAGTCAAGTGTTTTATCAAGTCGTCCTTCCTGTGTGGTGAAACCCAGACCGCCACTTAAAAAGTTAACAATTCCAATCAAAGCATTACCAGCTTCACTGTCACCAATAGGAAGTAAAACTTTTTTGAGCAAACATCCCTACAGTGCCTCATCCTCCAGGTATGAGTTTGATTGCAAAGATTTTAGGCTATTGGAAGGGTGTCTTTTGATGTGATTCATACTCTGTAAGTTCCAAGTGTCCCATGTGACAGAAACACAGCAAAAATATCTTAACTCCTGCGATCTACAGCAACTGGAGCCTGACTAAGTGAGATTGTCATTATGGTAGACTTACTGCATGAAAGCAATTTTAATTGAAGACTAAGCAATTTTGTGTATTTTTTGTTGTAAATGATTGAGCTGTGATTGAATGTTAGTAATAAGGTAAACAGTAGGTCAGTAACAAAGCAGACCCCATGAAAGAACAACATCCGTCAATCAAAATAATTATGGGGATGGTAATAAATTATGCTTCAGCTTGAAAATTTGAGCATTATGCTTTTGAGTGTCACCCCTGAAAACATGGCAGTATCTTGGAAATTATGATAGAAAGTAACTCAAATAATAGATTTTAAGAGCCCTCATGCTGGATACACTCCTTATTAAAAGTTTAACCAACACATAGCTTCCTTGTTTTACACTGACTTGATTTCCCACTTCACAAGGGAGTCCAAATTAAAATTGTTTTGTGTATGATTTTATATAGCCTCAAGCAAGGCTCTGAGATGGATTTTGATGGCTTTCTCAATGATCATGATCATGATCATGATGGTGACGAAGTTGACAGTTATTATGATGAGGATTTCTTGCTTGAAGATAATGAAGATGAAATGCACCAATTCCATCCCTCTATGGACTTTAGTGAAGTATCACTTGCGCAAGATGATGCTGAGGAGGAGGAAGAAGATGACGAAATATCACTGCATCCTGACGATTCCTTGTTTGATGAAGAAGATGACTTGGGAGTGAACAATGATGGAATGAGACAAAGGTGCAGTGTACACAATTTGTCCTGTATTAACTTTGATGGCATGCCAGGGCTCCATGAATGTGTCCTGAACCAAACTGTACATTTGCAATGCTTCTGTTTAATAAAATGGTTCATGTCTGTGTGCTCACGTACAATGTTAAAATATTGTAATAATGGGCAAAAGAAAGAGAAAGAAGAGACTGTGATGTTTGGCAGCAGAAACAATTCATTACAAAGTTGCTGAGACAGTTTCACTTTAACAATATTGACTGACTTTATACTGATTACTTTGAAATACATGTACATGTAACATCCTCAAGCAGCAGAAGACAGTTAAATGATAAAATAAAAATGATTTTTGTGAGATGATTGTGCTACAAAAACCTGAAAAAAAAAGTTGAAAAAATTACATGGAAGCACAGTGGCAGTTTTGTCTCATGGAAAACAAGATAAGAGAAGTTAATGTCATTTCTTAGCAAGAAATGAGTTTGCTTTTGTGGAGATTCTTTAAGAATGTAAAGAAGACCTATTAAATTACTTAATTTTCCAATTTGTCAAATGAAAAACAAGTACATGTCATCATAGTAAGCTTTCTTTTTCAGCCCTAAAAAAAACACTTGTCATTCTCTTTTTTTGCTATACTGTGAGATAGATTCTCTATTGACCAAGCTTGTTTGGTGGAGATAGCTAGATATTAGCCTTGTTCTTTGTTTTTCATTTTTATGCACTGAAACTTCGTCTCAGTCCATAAAAATGCCAAAGAAAAAAAAAAAGAAAAATAAGAAGGCAGCCAATATCTAGCCATCTTGACCACTTACTTGGTCAATAACACATGTTTACATGCATTTTGATCTAGAAAAACAGTATTACATCTATATCCAAATGTGGAGTGAGACTAATAAATGTTTTCAAGGTTTATTCTATAATTTTTGCGTCAGTAACAATAACTATTGAATATTAATGCAAGTGCGATGGTGAAATGAATTTTTTCCGAATCATTTTATCATTAGGAGTACTGGAAAGAGAGCAGGAAGTGAATCAAGAGATCGAAGATTTTCAACAACTGGCACAAAACAGAAACAGTCACAAGAAAGTTCCAGTAGCTCAGTCAAAACTAAAGAAGAACCACAGACTGATAAAACTCAAGAGCAAGATAAGAATGAAGAGGTTGTGGAAGAGAGGTCCGAACAAGAACAAGCTTCACCTAGATCACAAAAAAGAACTAACAGATCATTCACTCGCCAACAGGATGGTAGAAGGACCAAGAGACCTTCGGCAGGAAGGGGTGCTAAGAGAAAGGGTGAGATGCAAGTGGGAAACAGCTTTTCAAGAAGAGGTAGATGCCAATCAAGGCTAGGCCCTAGGAGTTGTGGTGTTGGTGGGCCAGTTCAACCAGTACTTGGGATGCCAGGTATACCTTTGTTCAATACTGGGGATGGACTCCTCCCTTTACCTGGGACTGAGCTAATATCGCCAATGTTGCCACCCATTCTAAAAGCTAAAGCTGAAATAGAGGCAGCCATGAAAGATAATATAGCAAAAACTGTTGAAATGTTGGTAAATCCCCCACCAGTTCCAGGTGAAGTTGCATATGATGTGCAGGAGTATAACAGCTGTGGACCTCCTGTGCGAAGTGGCAAATTACCTCCGCGACATCAGCCTAAGAGATCTCACAGTAGTACCCAAGATGCCAGGCATAACAGAGTGTCTAAAAACTCCATCACTGAATCACAATTTCAACCAGAAAGGGCATCAGACAGGCTGTCACCCAGGTGGTTGCAACAAACAAAGGAAAATTCATGTTACACAAATGAGCAGCTGAGTGCAAGTAATGGGATTACAAGTCAATTCAATCCAGGAAACACTGTTACAAGAGAAGTGTCAAAGAGTGAGTCAACCACTTATGCTCCTAAGGCTACATATCAACACGATGCCATACCAAGTGATTGTCAGAACAGTAGTAATAGCAGCTCAATAACTGACATAGAGAAAGCAAGATTAGCTGTTTTGAGACCAACCAGCTCTTCGTCAATGCAAGATTCAGATTCAGATTCACAAACTTCATCAAGTAAGAGGAAAAGTATTTTTCTTGACGAAGAAACAGTGCATGGAGGAAAAGTTTTGGTGACAACAAGCCCTGACGGGATGCCTCAGCCAAACCTTGCAAAATCAGGAACCAGGAAACCTTTTCCAAAGGGCTACTGTTTCGTGCAACTGAACACTGGAAAATGCAAGAAATCAAAATGCAAATATGTGCACATGGATCATAATCAGCTCCAAGAGGTACAACATATTTTTTTGTATCTTGTTCATGTCATATTACAGTGGGAGATGAAGTGGACTAATAGTTTGTTGAGTGGAATCTGGGTGTAGAGGTCAGGATTTCATGCCTCAAGACCTGTTTCTCAAAAGTTTTAGTGACTTAATGGGCTTGAAACCATATTTCAAAAACAAAATTTTGGCAGTAGAGATGCAGTTTCTGGTACCCTAATCAGTCCATTTTGTATCTTTAGCTGAAAGGTTTTTTTCTATATCATTTTCAACACTTTTGAAAGCTCCATCTGGAATTATTACTAGAACAGCTTAACAGGTGGATTTAGTTACTGGGACATTCGAGAAACAGGCTCCTGAGCAAAACACTTAGCATTCAAATTCTAACCCAGGAATGGAAATGTGTAACAGCAAATTCTCAGGGAAGCCTAACGAAATGCTGGGGGGGGGGGCCTTGTGATGGACCTGGATCCCATCCTAGGAAAGGGGGGGGGAGGAAGAAGGTAATGTCAGGCACTCCTTGTCACTTCATGCTAAAGAAACAGGGATAAGCTTGAGCCAGATGGGCCACCTGGCTTAAGTGCAGACTTCACCATCCACCTTTTTATTTTGCATTACTCACTTGGTGAATTTAGACTTTCATACACAAGATCTACGGAATTTTTTTTTTTTTTATTATTGTTTTGCAGTTCCGAGGGGTGCAACAGGCAGGTATCACAAGCAGGTAAGTACATTTTAGAATCAGAAGAAACCTTATTTTCAGGGTTTACATGTTTAGCTAGGGAATAGTACTTTGTAACAGAACAATCTCTGTGTCTAAAAGGAAAATACCATGTTCTTTACGCTTTTGAAATTTAGATGGAAAATTCTGCATGTCTGCTCTTAAGTTCTTTGATATCCAATACACAATAAACACTTCATAAGGTATGGGAGTTTTTACTCGATGTTTAATGATCTCAATTTTTCAGCCAAGGGAATGATTTAGAGGAGCTTCCTGCTTTAGAAACAGATGAAAATGTAGCTGTTCAAGAGACAAAACCTGAAGGTATGTACACTGTACATGTATTTGCACTTCAGTGGGAACTTATAAGTAGTGCAAGTCCTTCCACTCATTACTGAACCTTTTTTTATGAGGTTCATTACTTTGTGTCATTATGATAATGTTGATAATGTAAATTAACCAAGATATTTAAGGCTGACGTTTCAAGTGTTAGCTTTTGGTCATTTGCTTAGAAGAAGGGCTTATGGTTAAAACATCAGCTTTAGAATCCTTTTATGGTGGCCAATTTACGTTATCAACTTGTTTAAAGAAACCAAATTATCCTGTGATACCCCACCAATGTAGCACCACATTTCCTTTGGAAATTAAACCTCCTTCATTACCTTGTTTTATTGTTTCATGTACATGGATCACCCTCTTTGAATGTATTGTATGAGATATGATTTACCTGACTGTCTAACCTAATGTCTGTTCTTCCTTGTGCAGAGAACGATCCCACAGCATCCTACAATTTAATTGCAGATCTGCTGACAAACAACAATTTACGTAAGAATTTGATGGTGCTTTTTTTTACTTAATGTTGGTCAATTGGGGATTGAGTGTAAAAACCTTAAAAGGTTGAATAGGCTCCTCAGCTACATTGCTTATTTTGAAACTTTTTTTTTGTGAAGATGGTGCTTGGCAAATGGTTGAGAAACTGTGCAGAACAAACAGACCTGACCTGGCGATTGTGAGGAGGATTCTTGTCACTTGTAGTGAACACCAAGGAGAACCTGACATTGCTGCCCAGGTAACAGCTTCCATAGCAACCTGGGCTCATGCATAAGTCCTTTATTCGATGAAATGATTAACAAATAGAGTACATGTTGGCTTGTGTCTGTTAAGTGATAGATTTTTTACTCTTGCACTCAATCAAGAAGGATGAGCAGTTACATGGTCCATGAGCTTGTGTTGTTTTTCTTTCTTTGCAACCTACTGTAGGTATTACAATGTGCCTGTTAATTTGATGTGGTTTACAGTAATATGCCTTGCAAGAAAAATAAATTGCTTAAAAAGGGTTCCATTACTGTAAAGCTAAGCTATGTTAAATAATTTTCTTTCCCTTTCTCCCTTTTTGCTCATTGGTGGTTCTTTCATTGAAAATTTAAACATACAAACAGTTACCATAAAATTTTTTTCATGTTTGCTATAACATTTGTACTTGCAAATTGTGAGTGTAATACTCAGTGATATTCTAATCTTGGTAGGTTGCCCACAAGGCATTTGACACAATCAAGAGAGTTAGTGGACAGCATCATCGTCATGACTTTACTGTTCTCATCAGAACATTATGTCATGCAGGACAATATATCAGGTATGGTATGTAAAATTAAATGGTGATGCAGGGGTTTTTATCCTAGTTCCTTGAGAAAGCCCCCAGGTGCTTATTTAAAATTTTGGCATAAAGGAGAGGTGCTAATCAGAAGAAGGGTGTTTAGTTAAAAGGGGGGGCACTTATTAAGAAATGATTAGGTTGTAATGATTCCGCTGTAGTTGAAGTTTAAAAAGTTATCAAAGTGGTGATAGAAACAGGTTTTCCTTTTTCCCTTCTATTTAAGAAAGTGAGGGAGAATACAGAAGGGAGTGAGTGGGGCACTTATTTGAGAGGGGCGCTTGTTTGACGTAATGGCTTCGGGGGTGGTTGCTTATTCAGGGAGGGTGCTTATTAGAGTTTGGCCGCTTTTCAGGGAAATGCTGTATATCAATTTAAAATTTGTACCAAATGGTGAGAGGCCAACAGCTGATCTGTTGCTGGTGAAATCTCAAGTGAAATGAAATTTTAATGTAATAATTAAGGATGTCATTTGGTTTTATAATGCAGAGCGTACGAGATGCTGGATGTCATGAAAAGGAATAACCACATGCCAACTTATGAAGTATTTCTTGACTTGATCCAAGCTTCTGCTAAAGACCCTGAATGGTTAGAGCCTCTTTTTTTTAACAAGTGTTCAGGAAAATAATTTTTTTTGTCCTGTCCATGCTGTATCATGAATATACTGGATCCTGTAAGGAAAGATGGTCTGTGAATGTTGAGTGTTTTTTACTGATCAAAACACATGGAATATATTTTGTAAAGCATCCTCCGTTCTCTAATGTACTTACCCTTACTATTACTCCTTTATCATCAGGGCTTTTAATCTGTTGCATGAAGTCAAGCAGTCAGGATTGTTCAAGTCAGGGTAAGTACATGTAACAAGTATCCATTTAGCTCACTCTGGATAATTCTGTAAATTGACATCTACGAATAGACACATTTTTTATTATTTTTCTGTTAGGATCTGCAGTGATCTCATTCTTCTTGGCTCTAACAGTGGAGAACACTTTATTCAGAAGACATGGTTACTCTTTCAGGTAAGAATGCAAATGTATTTTAGCCCTGGTACACTTCAACACCCATATGTTCAGTGCACTGGTACTTTCCCAAGGAATTACATGTAATTTGAATTGCTTCAAGCTCTTATCTTGAGGCTTTTATTCTTTTGATATTACTAGTATTATCTTTAATTTCATGTTTTTTTGTTTATTTTTTTAGGAAGCATTGCAGTGTCAAGTCCACCTTTCAAATGATGCTGTTTCTGCAATGCTCATGTAAGAAAAAATAAGTGACTGATTAGAATGGTTTGGTTTTTGTTTGGCTAAAGAAATTGGTGAAATAGTTGGCTTCTTTAACATATGAATAAAGGAGTTGAGTTCAAAAGAAACTGTGGTGCTACGCTGGTGCATAACAAGATAATTTGGTTTTATTAACTCAGGTGATAATGTAAATTGGCCACTGAGAATAGCTGCTTAAGCTGATGTTTTGAGCATTAGCTGTTTGTCAGGGCAAGCCCTTTGTCAAAGTGAAGGGCTAATGTGTAAAATATTGGTTTTAAGAAGTCTTCACGGTGGCCAATTTACATATCATCTCAGTCTGTTAAGGTAAACCTCTATTGGGAAGACACCCTTGAAACAATGAAAAATCTGTGATAGACTCCCTCATTGTGGAGTCTCTGTGGCTCAGTGGTAGAGCATTGGAGCACAGAATCTGAAGGTCTGAGGTTTGATTCCTCATCGGGACTTAGAATTTTTTTCTTTGTCCTATGCTCATGACGAGACTTTATTTCTTTACTGAGCTCAAAATTTACCATCTCTCATATTTCAATGAAAAATCTGTGCTCGGAAAGGTTTTGAACTTACATGTAGGGACTGGATTTTTCTGTAGGTTTTGAAGAAAAATGTGCATGTTGTGTTTGGCCCAGGTGTGAGTCATTTGTTTATTACTATATTCAATCCTCTTAGCACTCTGTTAAAAGTGAATGACTGGGAGAAGATTATGTCGGTACTACCAGTATTCCCACTCGCAACACCAGCAGTGGTTTTGAAGGGAGCTGTGATAACTGCACTTCAGAAGCCAGAATGGATTGAAATGGTCACTGAGGTACTTGGAGTGACTCCAGCAGAAAACCTCTGTGAACTTGGATCTGATGTGAGTTTCATCTCTACTGTTGTGTTACATATATATATTTTTTGTTACCTATCCAAAACACTAAATGCTTTCTGAAAATGCACATTGCTTACATATATATCAGACTCTAGAACAAAGGGGCAGGGCTTTATTTGGAAGTGGAGGAGAAAATTGATAAGTACATTTAATTGTAGATTATACAGCATAACAGATACTCAGCAGAATAATGAATAGGCCAGGTTTTTCATAATTTAGTTTGAGAATTATGATTAGCAGCCAGGAATTATTTAATCTCTTGTGCCTCATGAACATTCAGTTATTACATGTATGTTCTCACACTTCAGTTTAATTATGATCTGGTTGCAAGCATCAGTTAAAAGTTTTTGTATTCGCTCTATATTTTACAATAGGATTGGAATTCACTCTTAGAGGCGTGTTGCCTACTACCGGGCAACAATGTATTGTTTGCTCAGAATGTGTGCTCCTTGATGCTTCAGAATGGAATCACCCTTGAACCACAGGTACGTCTTTATAGGGTTGGGGCCCTTCTTGATGTTTTTGTTTTCCTTTATCGCAAAATTAGACAATCTACAGTAAGCGTTTTCACAAAGTGACTTGACTTGAAAGGACTTTCCATTCTATTTTCATGGTTTAGTCCATCAATAACTATATGAGAGCATTATGTCATCTCGACAATTGGAGTGCAGCCTTGGAGCTCTTCAACACAATTAAGGAAGATCCAAAAGTCCTTGAACAGCCCCATGCTATTGCAAGTGGTTTGGTTGCCCTCTCAACAGCTTTGAGTAAAGCTGGGCCCTCAGCCAGTATGCTCATTGTAATCCACTTCATGTTGGAGTCTTGGATCAAAGTGAGTTAGTCTTCTTTTAGCTCTTATTACTCTTACCTGTTTAGTAAAGCTGCAGTGCCCTAAGTGCTGAGTTTCTTTATGTTTCTAGAAGTACATGTACAATACAGCTTGTGTGTACTGCAGCATTCCCGCACGTTGCAAGTGCGATGGAGTTTATGCTTCCAATGCGTGAGTTACGCGTGCGCAGTGGAAAAATTGCATGGGTACACACAAATGAGTTTATTTTATTTTTTCGTACGCCACTTGCTACACTCAAATGCGTGTACTTTTTCACTCAGAATTAATGATTCTGAAATGCTTTCGTGCGACATGGATATCTAAATACCAAAAATAACAGGACAATAGTGAAAGACTCCTTGATAGTACGTTACGTTACTTTTGTTTCTAAATCATCGGGCAGAACTAGTGTTACTTCACTTGATTATGCTGGGAGATGAGAAAATAAATGATATGAACTTTCTAGGGTTAAAATTTTGGCTTGTTATGTGAAAGGTCTTACTATAAGTATAAATGTATATTATATATATATATATATATAAGGTATAAATTACTTTTTATTTAGCCTGAAGATAGTGTGTTGCAGTCCGCTATTGAAATACTGGACAAAGAGAAGAACTATAAAGGTGTTCTGCAGTTCTTCCATCAGGTATCATTAAATGACTCTTTTTAAGTTTCTTTAAGAGGAGCTTAGAATGACCTGATGGGTACCTTTGGATATGCACTGACACGTTTTGTCTGTGGTAATGGGACGTAGGAGAGAGAAAACATGTATGAAACCCTCTCAGGTCCAGCTACTTAATGGGACAAATTAATTAAGGGAACTGTCTGAGGTCAGGATTTGTTGCAATTTTGGCCAGATCACAGTCTGGAAGAGATGTTAAACGGTATATAACTCTGTCATTTCTTGGTGTGCTAAAGAGCTCACTGAATTTTCAGGGTACAAGTTGCATGGAATTCATACATAACGTTGAATAACATTTTGAAGTTCATGGGAGAACATCTGGTTAGTTGCATCTGGTAATTTCACACATTATTACGAGAATACTGACCCTAAAATCAAATATTTTTTTCTATTTACAGCTTGAGGCTGCTAAAATTGTACTACCAGTGAATATGTATAAACAGATAACTGCATCTTTGGAGAAGTGGGTGGAAAATCCTGTTGCTTCTATTCAGCCCTACGCTGCTATGAGACGTATATATCCTACAAATCATTCAGAAAGCAATGATAAGGAAGAAGTTCCTAGTCTGAATAGGTGTGTCAATTTTAATCTCTATCATGTGAATTAAATAATTGTTGATTCGTATTTCCTCTTAAGTATAGTACAGTACATCTAATTACTTTCAGAACGACATTCAATACTCGTGCATGGGAACCTTATTTTAATTTACCTTCCGTTTAATTGCTATTCACAGGAAGTCTCAAAGAAATGAAAATGTGAATGAAATAAGCCATATAACTTTACTGATACAGCAGTTTGGTTCATTATTGGTGTCATTTTTTTCCCACTATTTTATAAATGATAATTTTTATTCACTTTCCAGTGCGAAATCCCAGGGTCGCAGTTATGGAAGAGTGTGCCGTTACTTCAATACTCCTGTGGGCTGCCGTAATGGCGACAAATGTTCGTTTATTCACCATTCAAATGCTAATAGCTCACAGGGAATTGTGAATTCCGCTTCTCAAGGTAGACATACTTCAAGTTTATTAGAATTCTAGAGCTGGAAAATGATAATGGGAATAGGGAATGGGAATGGGTATAGGGATGAGAAATGGGAATGAGAAATGGGATTCTTCGCTGTGGTTCTTCTCGACCACTGTTTCCCGGTCGATTTGAAATTTAGAATGTTGGTTTTTATTGGGGAAGGAAAACCGGAGGACCTGGAGAAAACCCATGGAGCTGGGACAAGGACAAGGACAAAGACAAGGACAAGAACCGCGGACAAAATTACCTCACATGTGAGACCAGGTCTGGAAGTCAAACCCGGACCATAGCTGTGGAAGGCAAACGCTCTCAACACTGCACCATCCCCATTCCCCGTATTTTTCATTGTTACTTGGAGTAAGGTTGGAATTTTTCAAAGAGCTGAAATGTAACATTGCCAACATTCTGAAGCAGACTGGTATTTAAAACAAGGTGTCACAATGACTGACGAAATTGGTTTTTAGGAATGAGCTGTGTAGTGGTGAAGTTGTGAATGTTGAAGAAACTACTCCCAAGGCATGATTTTGACTTTAAGTTAGTGGGCACTCATTGGAGAGTGTATGAAAAAGGCCATGAAAGATAATTCAGAGATAACTTACATTATAAGATAAATTATTGGTTTCAACAATCATCCCATTTAAAATAGTTTTGCTTCGGGTTAGTCTATCTCCTCTCCCCAATTTAAAGAGAAACCTTTTCATTCCACGCGTATGCTTTTGGTGTATTTATGATTATGTTTTTCAACAGGAGGAATTACTGGACAGAGCAATGAAGCATTGAACCACACCCAACCAGGAAACCCTTTTGTATACAGAGATCCGTGTACGTTTCCTGCTCCGGCCACTGGGTCAGATTTGTTTGGGCCTGTGCGTGATCAGCAGCACACTGCTATAAGGAGTACTCCAACAAAAGCAGGGCTTCATTTAGGTGGACCGTTTTCCTCTAATCGATTAGCCCCTCCTGTGGTCCGCACACCAACTGGAGGTGTGGCACAAAATTTCCAACTAGCAGCTACAAACCAATTTACCGGAAGAAATCCATTTTCTCCCTGTCTGCCGGGAAGAGCTCATAGCGTAGACAGCTCATTCAATAGCTCAAATACAGACCAACATAATCGCCAAACACACTCTGCCCCTGTTTTACCTGAAGCTTCAAGTATCAGTTGCTTTCCTTATCCCTCTAAAAGGAGTCTACAGTTTTACCTGCCGAGGATCAAGGTAGGATTTTTTTAAATTAGTACATGGTTTTTAAGCTCAGAATAAGTGTCCCTCATCAAGGTTGATTTTCAAAGTGTCAAACATATGCTTTTGCAGTCATCTGGGTAAAAATAATGACTTAGAAAGAATTGGTTTAAAAAAATGTGGCGCCAGAAGCCAACACACATCACTAATTATGGATTTCGGTGGGTTCAATCAAAATAAAGTACAGACGAGGACGAAGAGTGCAGTCTGGTTTAGATATTTGGAAGGATTATTCTTTTTTAGTTCACCATTGGTATATAATGAGTGTTCATATTTAGACGTGCGTTACAAATTTAATGTTTCAGCATGCCAGTCAACAGAATTGTTGGGAAGACTTAGGCTTTGTTTATGTGGCAATGAAGAATGAAGATGTTGACATCGACTCTGAGGTATTAAAAGCCTTTTTCCAGTCATTTGAAGCAAACTATATTCAGACTGTTGGAGAAAACTTTGAAAAGTTTTGCAATAAAATACACCATGACCTCGAACAAACAGTACCAAATACTGAACCCGACAGCAGTCCAAGTGCTTCTTTAGACGATGATGACAAACGCTTTATTGGTGAGTTAGGAGTGGCAATAATGTACTTGACATACTTCAAGCAACTTTTTGATCAAGGGTACTCCGTGCTGCATGTTTTGCACAACTTTAGCATAAACTACTCAATATACGCAGGTGAATTTGGAGTACAGAAAAGGCCTTTAACTTCATCCGAAGTGGCACTTACAGCAGCAGACATCTGTCTTAGTTTAAGTCAGCCTTTGCATAGCAGTGCCTTAGAAGTACTTCGTGGTACAAACTATGCTTGTGCAGCTGATGGAAAAATAATGACCCCTGAGGAGACGGGGTGGAGGAGGCGAGTTTTTGTATCATTATGTGAGTACTTCATGAATTCCAAAGAATTTGCTTTTGTGTTTGAGCTATTGGATAAAGCTGGAGATGGTGGGGAGGTGAAAGCCTTGTATAATCGACTCCTTCGTAGCCTAATCTCAAAGAAAGAACTAAATCATGTCACCAATCTTCTCCAAGTTATGGAAGATAAACACATTTCATGGGAACCAACGCTGGTAAGAGAGTTGGTGAAAGGCTTTGGAGAGGTAGGAAATGTTCGGCAAGCCAAGTTTTACTTTAAGAAGGGTGTATACACAGGCGTATATCCCGATTCTTTTAGTACAGAGAATCCTTTTACTGTTGTTGTGGGCGTCAGCTATTCAGCTTTGGAATGTCAGCTTTTTATTGAGAGACACCTACATTTCCTGAAAGAGTGTATTGATCGACGTGCGAAGTCTTCTGGTGGTGATCCATTGAATGACTCAGATTACAGTCCGCTTAGAGTTGTAGTAAAGTCAGATGAGGTACCCAATATGTATACCAGGGACAAGGGGAGACAGCATGAGCAGGTCATTGGCGCCAGGCTTGAAGAAGTGAGAAGAGTGTTGAATGATGAGTTCAATCCACCTCTCCAGTGTGCAACACAAGGCAAAGAGGTAAGAACACAGAAACACTCAGTTTTTATTTCATCCATGAGACTCGTGCAAAGCTGGGAAATACGATAACTAGTTTTAAATGTTTACTAGGAAGGTGCACGAGCGTCTTTGGTACTCATGTTACTGATGTCATCAATTATTTGCCCATCTCCTATCACCACTCATGTTTATTATAGCTTTTGGTCAGTTCCCTGAATCTTAAGAGGTGGTTCCGCGCCAATCCAACAACTGGACGCTTTAAAGGAGGAAGCTGGAGTGGTGCATTTTCTTCGGTTGAAATGTAAACAACATATTTGGTAACAGGTATGAGTAAAACATTGCCATCAAATTTAGCAGAGAAAATGATACTTCTTTTCCTTAATGAACGAATTGAAGATGTCATCATCGTGTTTGCTTTCTTTGAGAATATGGGGTGTATTGCGCAGATTAGCTGTTGAGTACAGCTGCAAAATGCATTGGTGCAATCCCTATGGTTGAATGCCTGACAAGCAATCCCTGGCTTCACAACAACTGCACACAAGAACGCGAAAGCAGAACAAGTTTTCTTTCTCGTGAAAAACTTTTACTGTAAGAATGCTGTAATCACTGCAGGCAGTTAAAAAGAGTTTTGTTGGCTGATGCCCCGTATTTTCTGCCTTCCAGGGAAATGTCAGGTAGTATCCATTGACAGGTCTCCAAGTTTATACAAAGACAGTGAGTCATTATCAAACCACCTACATTGTGAGAGGGATAAAAGACGATTGTCTTCGTATATGGATATGAACACTGATCTTACTCGAAGTTAATAATTTTTGTTGCCATTTTTTGTGCGGATGATGCATCTTTTTGGTTTGAGGTATTTGCATTTGTTCATGCACTTTTACCATGAAGAAGTGAAATGTAATTATGCTTCAATGCGCAGTGATGTTTAGGTTAAGACTGATACCCATATTGTACCAATGTAACCACAGCAACAGTGGTCAGACTGGCAAAAGTGTGGTTTTTGATTGTTTGTCATTAAATCCTCGCTCTGTCATCAAAGCATTTGAAATTAAAATTAACTTGACTTCTAACGGTGGTACTGGTGGTTGGCAAGCTCTGCATGCCGTCAGGTGGTCAGAAAACTCTCTTCAAGGTGAACTATGCCATCTATGTTTTTGCGAACCTATGTATGACTCATGCAAGCACTTTACATACAAGGCTTCTAGGTTGGCTTTGGAGGTGTGAAAATGTTTAAGATAACGGGACATATCTCGTCTTTTCAGACTTTGTTCGGTAGTGTATTACGCAAATTTGCTCTCAAAGACTTCGTGCAGCAAAGTTTATGTCAAATTTCCTATTGGACCTTTTTGTCTTGGAAATGGCGCCTATTTAGACGTCATGAATTTATGTGTACTGTCTATCTTGATTAAGAGTGAATTGCTCACAAAGAGTTAGTTGTACTGTAGAAGAAATTTTAATTGCAGAAAAATGAACGACTTCTTACTTGCCAGGTTGTATCAGAAACAAGTGTCGAGGGTCAAATTAGCGTACGCAGTTGTTTGTGTTAGCCATCAGTATGTCAGCTTTGAAACGACACTCTAACAAAGTAAGGCACTTACATTTCTCTAAGAGCTTATTGATAAACTGGCTTTAGATTGTGGTTGTGATCACGTGGATTGCCGTTGCTACGGTCCACAGAGCTGTTGTTGAATCATATGAGGTGCTTTGGCTGGATTCCATGGGTTTCTTTGTTTGGATTCTTCACTTGGGAGAAAATTCATGCCCTCGAGGTGCTGTATATTCTTTCTTCCTGGTGTGATCAGTTTTAGTTAAGACCTCTTTTAAGAGCTAATTGGAGCGCTTGTTGCAGGTTCTTTTAGAGGTGATAACTCTCATTTCACTCAGTTGAAGTTTAACCTTCGGCCTTTGTTAGGACTCATTGGCTTCGTCCGCGGTGTTGAAAATGAAGCTGAAGGCCATGTTTTCTTTCTCTGATGCCTTGGAAAAAATAGCTCTTTGTCAAGTTGAAACAGCTCACGCTCCCCTCAGAGAATTAGCCAAGTTTTCTACATGATGCTAACTTTAATATTTATTACGAGTATTAAAACCAGCTCATACGCATAGTCACAAACATACCCCAATACACTTAAAATTTATGCATTGGCAATATTATCTTATGATTTCGAGTGCAATTTGGTGTTGATAAGCACAAGTGAGTGTTTCAAAGACATCTCGTGCTCATTACACCAAATTGCAAGAAAAATCATATTATTACTTTTAATGGTGTACGTAAAAAAACACATCACAGAAAGTCAAGACAGAAGAAATTTTGAAAGCATGCGCGTGCCATTTGTCATTTGCACTCGTGTTACATGAGAATTCTCTCGTTTTCAGCCATTCACAAGCGCGTAATTTTTTATGGTTCATTATTATATTTGAATTTGCTGCAAATTGAATAAATTCACTGATTTAATTTGAATTCAAGGATGCTTGAATTCCAGGCATTTCGTCAAATCATTGATAGCAGGTTATCTAAATTACCTTCTGGTATATGCCAGTTCGGTGCATGAGGGACTAACTGTGGCATAGTGGCGAATTGAAATGTTTAATTGTTTTGTGCAAGGTTGAAGTATTATGCTGGGTAGACTCGGTTGATTTGCAACGGGCAACTGTTGAGTGATGTTCCCTTGTTGTTGCATCAGGATCTTTTTGTAGGTTTATTTCATGAACCTTGTTAGGTTGCTTACCAAAGAACTGTTTTGTCAGCTTGTGATACGTGTCTTTTCAGTCACCTTTTGGAGGGGGAGGCCTACTAGAAGGGTAACATGCTGTGAAGTAAAATAGATAAAAGAACAAAAAGTAAACGGGCGTAGATTTAAGCTGAAAACGCAATATCTTGTCGAGCATCGTCACTTTCCTGATTAAGCATAATGTCAATCGATTTGATGACTGATTAAAATTGGACCAAAGCATTTTTGAAAAGTCACGAGTTATGACCTCGAGGGTTTTTTAAAAATGCTGAGTTTAATGAAGACTAAACGGGTAAATCCAATTCCAACCTGAAATCCTTAACTTTGTGGTAAACCAACTGAATCTTCCTTTGAACGTGCTATGTAAATACACGGTTTCCATCTCCTTTTGTGATGGAACTCCGTGTGGCGTCTATTTCTGATTTGGTGGTGACAGCCTTGCTGGCTTGCGAAAATTTTACATTTACACGGATGCATTTGCCCAGTTTGAATTCCAGCAGAATTTGTTTGGGATAATTCGCAGTGAATGACGAATAAGAACTGCCTTTTTCAAATTTCAGTAGGCAATGGGTAAGAAAACATTTATCAAAGCCGTTGGAAAAAAAAAAATAGAATTCATTATTGCAAAAAGGAAACAAGTTTTTACAAAAGAGGAATTTGATCAAGCTCTCTATGACTGATGATAATTAACTATTTTAAAGAACAATATTTTAGATAATTTTGTTTGGTTTGTCAACTAAACATTGAAAAGGTTACAATGTATGAAATCGAAATTTTATGTGGTACTTAGTGTTTCAAGGCAACTAAGTTAATGTTGAATTAAATATTTTTCTTTCTAGATTATTCCTATCATAATTCAATTTTTACCCATCGAGCTTTAATCTTTTGCATTTGTTTCACTTGAGGACAATTCTAATGAAGTACCTTAAAGCATCAGTGCGTCCTCTAAGTAATATCTCTGAAGGATGGAAGGTCTCATTCATAAGGTTCTCTTCTTGGAGGAACTTCTTCTTTGGAGAAACGTCTAACAATTTCTCTTAGTTGCCTGCTACATGCTTTGATTTAAGTCCTGTGTTAATATTTCGCCAAGCCTGTTGTTGCGTTCCTAGCACGGCAGACACGGGGTGCAGCGTAGTTGGGTCCGCCAGGTCAACCACAGTGAATTACAGGACGGACAGCAGACTCTTACACACGTTTATTGGACTAAATCATGCAATCAGGCTAGCCGACTTGTTACAACACTTGCGGTAAAAACTAAAAGGGAATGCACGATCTGTCTAAGCTAAGGAAACGAGCTAAACTACAAATCTGACGACAGAAAACACAACTAAGGATCGTGACTTACGTCTGATCTTGGCTCCGGGGATGAGAAAACTCCAACTTGTAAAAAAAAACTCCGAAAGACTCCTACAAAACTCCTCTTTGCTCCAGGGACAACTCCTTAAAAGCTAAAATGTTCGCGGAAAAAAGGCATATTATGCTTCTATGACGTAAAGGAAACTAAACTGAAATAACTCTTTGTGCGGCTAGCCGAAAAAGGATATTTTATTATCACGCAATCAAAACGAAACAAGGCTACATTTTAAGAAAACAAAAGGTGATATAATATTCGAAAGCGTTCTTTGTACGGCAACGTGACACCTGTTAGATAGTATCTCCGCCTGGAAGAGGATCTCGTCTGAGGAAATTTCTGATCTTTAGAAAAAGGCTAATTCGTGCATTGGGCCTAATGGCATGAAAGCTCGCTGATTGAGGCGACTCCCATTCTGAACACTCTTTGGAATTCAGACCTGCATCAGCTTAAAGCTGTTAGTGTGTCGGACTTGTTTTCCTCAGTTTCTGACACTGAGCTGTGAATCAGCTGGGATGCTTCCAACTCGGGCTGTCTGCCACAGTGGTCTGATAGGCGAAGCCTGCGTTCATTGACTTTGTCGCCAGGAATATTTTGAGGGTATCCTTTGGCCTTATCGAGGGTCAATGACTCCGAGGTGTCTATTTCTGCCTGGGCCACTACCCATTCGTTAATGGTTTAAATGAACAAATTTCAGCAAGAGGTGTGAGTCTCGTGCCTGATGAAATTTGTTTTTGTAAGATAGCAAGAAGAATGAAGAAGCTTGTCGACAAATTCAATCAACTCAGACTTTCTGGGCAGATTTATGAATATGCCGTGGTAACGAACTACTAGGATGTTGCCAGATAAGCTGGGTGAGTGCGTCGCTGGATTGATGAGTCTAGTTTGTTTATTGTTTTCTTGTGTTTCTGTTCGCAATAATAAAGTTGAGCCTCTGCGATCTGTATTGATGTTTGGAGCCAAACATGGATTCCATGGCCACTTTAGAATGTGCATCGCCTAAGATTGCTTGGACGACGCCTTTGAGGCAGGCTCTCACATCAATGACCTCCGTGCGACTTTCTCAGGTTTTTATGAAAGCGAGCCATTAAAATCGGTCATGATTACTTCCACTTAAATACTCTATTTAAAAGGACTTGGTGTCTACGCAGGGCGAGGAAAACGTTTGATTTGAGAAAAACATTTTCTCTCTCTTGTTTTGAAGTATTCAAAAGGTCGTAATTGTTGAAATGGCGGATTTAAAAATACGGAAATAAAAAGAGTGATTTAAGAAAATCACTTGACTTCGCTATGGAAAGGAAAATGTGTTTGCAGAGATGATGTTCTCAAGTAGAGAGGTAACAAATTAATGGTCTCCATTATACCTTACCTCCTAGCGAGATATGTCGGAAGTGTTCCCTATAACTTCTTGGTACCCCCACATAACCTTGGCAAAAGTGGTCCACTAAATTGTTTTTTACTTTGCCTAAATTTCATAAAGCCCTATGCGTCAAGAATAATGGAAAGAACGAGTAAATTCTTAAACAAACAAAATTGACCTCCTGGTCGAAATAATGTATCCTTTTTGGCGAGAAAATCTCGCCACTTGTTTATTTTTAATGGCCCAAAATATTATTTAAGATGATATTCATACATTTAAAATGTGAAATATAATTTTATATTACATATATATTTATTTTTGAGAGAATTCTTGTATTAAACCCCAGACACTGATGTCTCAAAATATCTTGAAAATTGAAAGAACTCCAAAAGGGATAAATATCTTTATATTTGTATTTTCTGAGACCTTTTTATATTTTGATTACAATATGCGAAATATTTCTCATTGTTAGATTGTTGCTGTGAAAGAAACAGTACAACAAAAAGGGCAAAAATAACCATAACTGGGAAACTGATCCGCTGAAAAAAGATGCCGATGACCTCTTACTAGAGGCTAATTTGTGTTTTTTAGAAACCTTATATATCCTGTCATTCATTGGTATAATAAGTAACCCTCAACGGTAGACATTATTCAAAAAGTAAGTTTTTGTACCAGTGAAGTTAATTTTCTGTTTCAAAGGGATGCCTAGAGTACCTAAATTTTGTTAATATAATTATAGCGGAGACATATCGGTACTTTGGTAAGAAATGAAAATGCTTCCATAGAATTGAATTCATTTATCACTTCCAAGAAAGGGTTATAGGAAAATTTTTTCTTCTTTTTGTGTAGCAAATCTTCGTATGAGAAGACATTTTGCTATGCTTTTTCACTCATAAGTCATAATTACGGCTTGATTTTGTTTTTATTTTTATTTCATTACAACACGGTGTACACAAACAAGGACAACGAAAATAACAAAAAGTAGACGATTGACAAAAATACTTAATACATTAAAGAAGAAACTTACTCTGGAATCTCAAAAAGCTTAGTGAACAACTCTTACGCGATACTTGCGTTAACTATTTTTTTTTTATTTTATCATAATACTGATATAAAATGTACAAGATTCAAGTTATATTCAATCATTCTTACCTACTAACTACTTATACAAAGTCCTTACAGTTCTTATTTATTAATAACTTAATTGTCTTAATACAAAACGATTGTAAGGCTTGTTGTTTTCATCGCACATTCTACACAGCTACGAGCGAATTTCCAGTGTAGTTATTAATGCACTTAATAATAGGTATCCACACAAAATTATTCTCAACTGTGTCAATTTTGTCCATAGCTTTACAATTTGCACATAAAATTAAAGCTTCTGAGTTTTTGTCATAATCCATTTATAAAAACGAATCCAAAGGTCTTACCTAAGAATATAATTGAGAAAAAGGTAAAAATTTTTAAGGAAAAATAATGGATAGCGTTAAAATTGCTTAAGAACGCATATATGATGTTTGGCATCTCAAAAGTAAACAAAACCTAAAAGTATATTGAACAAGCCCCCACTTGATACTCTGGGTTCTTTTTTGTGTCAAATGTAATATCATCAGTGTATAATTTAAACAAGGCCCTCTGGCAGCATCCGTCTATGAGTAACAAGTAATACCAACAATAATTTCACTTTATTTGTTATTAACATTTGAAAAGTCAGCAGTTATGCAAAGGAGTTCTCATCATGTTTTTATAATATTATCTTTGCATAAAAAGACGACCCCTTGTTCGGCTCCTTGGTTTGCAACGTACACTTTCCCCGTCAACATCAGTTCCATGTCAGTTTGGATCCTTGAAGTAGAAATATTCTAGAGTGTGAAATCTTTGAAAGCAGAGCATAAGACTCGCACTAACGTTACGGACCGTGCAAGCATAAGCTCTTTGCAGTCATCTGCTTGGTGGTAAAATGGGGAAAGGCGCAGTTGAAGGTTGACCTTTTTTCTTTAGCTGGTGGTGCTCGATCTCCTGTTTTGTCTGTTCGTTTGCTTTTTTCTGTTTCATCTTCTCCCAATTAATTACTCGTTAAGTGTGCGCGTGAACGCAAGCATAAGACGAGTCTTTGTTGTCACTGGAAGGCTGTGGTAAGGGTGACTTGGCTCGAGCAGAAATTAGGGACTTTAAGATCCAACAACGCGGAC